GTGTGGGTGTGGGTGTGAGGATGTGGGGTGTGAGTGGGATGTGTGGGGTGTGGGTGGGTGTGGGTGTGGGGTGTGGGTGTGAAGATGTGGGTGTATGGGTGTGGGTGTGGCGTGCGTGTGGGTGTGGGTGTGAGGGTGTGGGTGGGTCTGGGTGTGGGTGTGAATGTGCGTGTGGGTGTTGATTTACTCTTAATAACGGTGGCCATACCGACACACCCACGCCCCACATGGAAATGTACATCCACACCTACACTCACCCACACCCACACTCGCCCAGACCCACACTCACCCACACCCATCCACTTAAAATAATAGATTGATATTCATGTTGAGGACATGTTTGATTTCAACAAGTAGTAAAAGAGGAAGAAAATCTGCAACTAAATTATAATTGTAACGTCAGCTTACACATCCGCATGATAAAAAATAATACGTAGCCCATAAAGAATGAGACATTTTTATATTCCTTTTTTTAACAATGACAACACACTCAACGGCTTTGGTTTAAGTTCATTCCGATAGAGCGTTTTCCACTCCACAAAGCTGTCTAATTTATTTTTGAAATCAGCTTTTCTTGTCAGCACAAAATTGAAAAGATGAATGCCTACTCAGTCATCCAACTGTGACGGTCAAAAACGGAAAAAATAATAATAATTTTTTTATTCATAGTTCCACTGAAATCTGAAATACGCTACAAGATTCTTCATAAAATTGTACGTCGTTTAATGCATCTTTCAGAATTTTAGAAGAAATATTTTGAATAAAAATTAATAAAATAAAATATGTAAAAACATCGAAAAGGCAAGAGGAAAACGACATACAACCGTACTTCTTGGAACAAAGGAAATACATGGACTACAATGAGAGTACGAGAATACGGCGAAAGTACCATAGTACAATGGAATTGAGTGGAAATATGTGGAGTATAGTAAAAGAACCATAGAAGTACTGGGATACAAAAGGAGTACGTGAAGTGGTTATGAATGTGAGTGTGGGTGTGGGTGTGGGTATGAGTGTGTGGTGGGTGTGGTGGGTGTGGTGTTGGGTGTAAGTGTGGGCTGTCGGTGTGGGTGTTGTTCTGTTCTTCAACAATACACCCACACCCGACGTTAAAAGAAAAAAAGCTAACGTGCCACGGTGATAAAAATAAAAAACCGTACCGCGACGCTGCCGCGATGTTTGTTAGAAAAATGTTGTGAATTTTACGAATGTGACTGTTTAGGCCTAGAATTGTTATCACTAGTGGATAAGATTCGTTGAGTCACATTGTTTTGTACTTGCAAGCGTTGAATTCCTGTTCAGACTCATGCATTTTTGCATTCTCCTTCAAAACATCCATCGCTACTGCACCGCTGCCGCGATGACTGTTTAGAAAAACAACCGCTAAGGCGTCGTCACTGCCACAGCAGCAGCGGCGCGGTAGCGCCCCCATTGGACATCTTTACCATACTCTTAAAGGTCGAAAATTTCAAATATTAATTAGTATAAAATGCATTCTACTTCATTATTTACTTATTATATTTACATTTAAAGAAGTTGAGATTTACCAAGGAAAGAAAGGAAGGAATACAACAAATGAAAAGAGAGTAACAATATCGAGCTCTTTTATGTAATAGAATAGAGAAAACTTCCATATGACGGTGTCACTACATTACAATAAGAGACATAGTAAAATTTATAAATTATGTCTCGTCTTTATTATTCACTATTTCAGTAAAAATTCTTTTTTTCTTCTTGATGACATCACTTATAACAGTCAATCTTATATTATTCTTTGAAAAAATGAATAATAACGATAAACGAGTGTTTGTACCAATAAGTTTCTCTAATCATTTGACAATAACTAAAACTGATTGCTGTTAGATTTATATATCAATTAGAACCATATTGTGAGTCCACAACCATCATCTTCGATTGAAAAATAAAGTTGTTTATTAAGACATAATTGGAGTATTTGATCACATAACTGTTTAATAAATTTTGTATGATCTTCAAATGTAGTTTTTATATCATCATCTAATGAACTGAATTTTCGTCGAAAGTAAAAACCAAAACCTCTCAACAATGATGTTGCCTTTGCAATTATTTGACAATCTTCGTCATCAATAGTTTTTGGTAAGTCAAATATAGACACTCGTAACGAACTCAATTCTGGCAAAGTTGACAGAAAATGTAAAATTACTGGCCAATTTGGTAACATACAGTTCGGAAAAGTATGGCAAAGAAGAATGTGAATAGAACGGATAGTTGTTGGAAATGAAGACAAATAGTTGAGACAATTGACACTATTTAGAAGAGTTATATGGCGAAGAGCGGATAAATGTATACGAACAGATCTATTATAATGGGACAAGTGCAGTGTTTCAATATAATTGGATAATAACACATGAGGTAAAAAAAATATAGGTGTTGGCAAAATTTGACATGCTGCATCTGATGTACGAAGAGATGATTGATACATTGCCATAGCATTGTGAGAAGGTATTTCAAACACTTGTACTTTGGTAATCCATCTATATGGAATATATTCGTGGAAGAATTCATCAAATGTTCATGGAAGAGTATACCACATATGATGGTAATAATGACGTCCACAACTCTATTAATATATGAAACACATTGACATATTGTTAGATAAAAACTAAATTATTAAGTAAAGAACAATGATTTTCGTTGCCTTCAGATTACATTTTGAAATAAAAGGCGATCAAAAATATAATCAAACAATAACTTACAAAAGGATTACTATCAATGAGTCATTCTGATCTAGGAGACTAGTGATTAACAAGGAATGTTGCACCAACAATTTCTCGTGAATGGAAACGATTTCCACGTAGCATATACGGTATTATTTTGATATATTGAGGACAATTAAGAAGATTAAATGCGAAATGAACATCAACATGACGATGATCAGTAAAGATTCCTGATGAACTAATACTATTTATGTCATTAATATTAATAAACAGAGGTACATTAGCACGTCGAAGAACAGGCATAACATTCGAAGATGTTAGTATTTCAAAATCTGTCCATTCAATTGTTAACATTGAGAAAAATGTTTGAACTAGTGAAAATGTATGTAAATTAATCATTCGAATCGATAGATTAGACATTGACACAGGACAATGAGCGTTGGAATAACT